ATAAAAACCACTAAATTTTTATTTTTCAAAATGTAGGTGTTATAGTATGACTCATATACCATATAGGGACATACACTGAATCGAAGCGGAGCGAAGCGAAAGAATCTGTCCAAACCGGGAAGTTACGTGGGTTGGGGGTGCAGGGGCAAAGCCCTGCGGTACGGTACATGGGTAATGTTGTAATTACGTATTGTGCTTAGGGTTTATTCCTGGGGTTATAAATAAACCTGTTAGTAACCCTAAGAGGTATCCCTCTATTCTGTAATATCCTTTCTAAATATTGAAAGACACTCGCTGCTCTGCTCCTGATGACGTAGACATCTTTGCCGAACTTTGTTAAATCTTTGCGTTCTTCTGGATTTGTGTCGTTCTAGTTTTTCTTCGCCCTAATTTTTTCAACAATACATATAATATATATATATAGTTAAGGGGTAGGCATGCAAATGTATCTAATTAAAACTGCAATTATATTAAAATCGTACGGAGAGGCAGCTGGCAACAGACAATCTATTATGGCAGGAGGGAAGAAAGGTAGCTGTAGACAATTCGCTTATCCAGCGGCGAATATGATGGAAGTCTGGTTCTAGAATTTGGAATCATTTTTATCTAATGCTGCACGGATAATATACTTAAAAGGAGGAGTAAAATATTTAATTGAACGGTTAGGGAGAGGAGGGTTGCAAATTATTGTAGTCCATGTGAATGCAAATATGCAATTTTATGTAGAAGATATTATACTTGTTTAAAAGTCCACGAGATACCACATTATTAATTGGTTGCTAGGAATTTTCATCAGACTATATATAGTCTATTGATGTCATAATGGTAGGATTTGGTGAATTCCATGCAAACATGTTGATTATTATTCCATTTGGGTGAGGTTATGCTTTGTGTGAAGTTCGGAACTTACTCTAGTATATTTTGAGGTTGTCTAGGGTCATGTATATCAAATATTAAATGGGTTTGATGGCTTTATTGGTTCAAGCCCGCTAGCAATACATTCAATGGTCTGTCACCGATCCGATCAGTATCTTTAGAAGTGACGAGCTGCGTGCTTCTTATCTCCCAGAAGAATTATGCGAGCGCCTTTGAAATGCATCTGCATTCTTACTAGTTTACTCGGCTCTAATCTTCAAGCGAGCTAATCTAGTCTAACTGGAGTGCATTGTCTTAGTTCTCGTTCCAAGCTCGCATGAGATGGTTGGACCTTCCAACCAAACTCGTTCACAAATACTTAGCCGGTGATACAAGTTAGACTAATTTGGAACAACAAACTCGTTCACAAATACTTAGCCGGTGATACAAGTTAGACTAATTTGGAACAATAATGTGTGTGTCTATATATATATATATCTATCTGTGTGTGTGTGTACTTAAAATATTGAATTTGAAGAATTTATAAAAAATGATTAAGAAATCATATTTTTTTTACTTTATATTATGTGATTTCTTATTATTTATCTTCTAATTGCTCATTCTTTTTTATGATTTTATTATGTCACTAGTTAAAATTAATATTAGTTTTTTTTCTCTTTTTTTAATAAAGAGGTTGGCTTGTAAGTCAGCTCGAACTCGTAGACTCAAACTTGAGCTCAATTAATTAATTTAGCTCGACTCGGCTTGTTTACATTCCTATTATGGCCTCTACTCGGCTAACACTTAGGGTTGTTATTGAGGCTAATCGAGTCGAGTATGTCATAAATTGAACTTGGGTTGGTCGAATCATAACTTGTTTATGTTCAGTTGGGCTTGACTTGAGCTTTCACATATGTGTTCATATTTGACATGCTTAAATTTTTTTTATGTTCACATTTGATTTCTACTTGATTTGTTTATATTAATTGAACAATCTAAAACGTTGAATGAGTGCATGATTTTTTTATATAAGACTAGAGCTAAAAATTTGAAAGGAGTACTTACTTTTTTTTATATAAAATTATTAATAAGTGATTTTATAAGTTCAAACAAATAAGGTATTGAATAAATTTTAAATTAACATCTAATTAATTTATACTAATAAACAAGTTTTTCTTACAATCAAATCATATTTAATAAGTATCGACAAACACGCTCATTGAAATTAAAAATAATAAGAAATTGAATTATATTTATGTACATATTCATATTAAATTATAATATTTTATTATTAAATATACAATTAAATAAATTCTAATTAATTAAATATTATTTAAATAATACATGAGGAAGAGATATAAGATTTAACTTGTTTGTTTATGAATTATATAAACGAGAAAAATTATGTTCAAATTTTGTTTATTTAAACTTTTGAGTTTAAAAATATTATTTTTTCTTAGTGAGAGATGACCAACACATAGTTTTATGAATAGGAAAAAAAATACAAATCGAGTACTTAGAAACTAAATTGAGCACATCAACAACAAAAATTGAAAACATAAGAAAATAACCAACTAAGAATCTGCATAAAGCCAAGAACTTAAGCATGAATATTATCAAAATCCTTCATATTTAACTAGCTTCAAATCCGACAATTAAATGATATCTTTCTTAAATACTGCTAAGCCAAATAAAAAAACAAATAAGCTGAAGAAAATAGACATAATAATCAAATAATGAGAACTCAAGTTGGATGGTTGAACTGGAGGAATGCATCAGGATTATTATGTGATAGAAAAGTATTGCTTAGACTTAAAAACAAAATTTAATAAGATGGTGGTGAGATCATCAATGCTTTATAGTTTGTAATAGTGACCTATAAACTAGAAGCATAAAACGAAGTTAAGTGTTGATGAGATAAGAATTATTAGGTGGATGAGTGGCTTGACACTTAGAGACAAAACGAGAAACAAATATACCTGGGAAAGGGCTGGTGCAACTCCGGTAACAAACAAGATTAGAGAGAGTTGCCTTGGATGGTTTGGCCACATTAAACGTCGATCATCTGATGACCCATTTAGGAGCGTAGATGTTTTAGATCTGATCTATGCTAAGAAAGGTAGACCTAAAGGACTTGAGCATGTCATATAAAAATGCTCTTAATTTATTAAAACTAAATGAAAATATGACACTCAATAGGACACAATGGAGAAAATTGATTCATTTAGCCGACCCCTCTTAATGGAATAAAAGCTTCTTCTTGTTCTTGTTGTAGATAATGAGAACTCAAAAGAATCCCGCCTTTAACTAAATTGATGGACATAAAAATCAATCATATTACATAATATTCATAAAAGAAATGCATATCAATCTTATCAGAACAAGATGAAATGATTTTAGTAAGTGAAAAACATCCCAACTTCACAAAGCTCTTCTCTGAAAGTCTAAGCATCTTCCAACTAACTTGTAGATGTAATTAAGAATTTGCAATAGTTTTTAAATTGCTAGAAAATTGTGATGATTGTCAGATGCACAAATTAAAGTTTAGAAGTCGGATATGTAAATATATATGATTTGAGTGGTTTGAATGTAAATCTTCCAGTAGTAATTTGTAATGGTTAGAACTGCTACAAATCATATAGAATTTAAGTAGGCATGTGCGTAACATATGATTTAATACCTTGAGATTTATTTCATTGAGAAAAATCAAAATAATGTGAACATACTCCCAAATTCAGGCTAATAATTATTATATCAAGACTAATCAATTCATCATAAATTAAGAAAATGACATCGGCTTATCTTTATACTTTATGATTTGCAACTTAATTTCATTTGTGCTAATTTATATGCTATGAAAAAAAAAAGTCTTTTTTATTTTTATGTATTCACAAGTCTATTCAGATTTTATTTTCTAAGACTTATTAATTTTAAAATTTATTCAAATTTAAATATATTGAACTATATCATTCAATTGGTAGAGAAAATACTTTCCATTAACAAAATAATCAAAACATTGCTACAACAATATAGATTTTTAGAGAGTTTTAATATTAGCGAAAGGGGTGGATGTTGAATCCTTCTAACTAGGATGCAGGGTCACATATCGTTTGTGGGAACATACAAATCGGTAGAAGGCCTTATATTGAAGAGAAGATGACAGAAAGAAAGAGGAATGAATGAGATTCCTTTGAGGGGATCTTAGCAAATGCATTAATTTTTGATCTTTGGAAATCCAGAAAGAAATGGCTCTTTGAAGATTCACTGAGTTACAAGATGCCCAAGAGAAAGGGAGAGAGATAGGAAGCTAAGGAGAGAGCTTTTTTGGGAGTAGAAGGAGATTCATTAATCGACGTGTTACATATTCTTATTTACATGATGCATTTCTATGGTATCTTGATGGAAATATTGTGATGTTAATACTACATATCGTTGACTAATATTTGAAATTGTCTGTAAGGCGGCCATCCCCAATATCTAGGTGAATGGACCGAGTCCCCAATGTTCTGGCAATATCTTTTAAAAAGTGAATGTTCTTAACTGTCATGGTGACTTTCTTGAATTGCTACCCTCGTATAGGTGGGCTAGGTTCTTCTCTCGAAGAAGGTGAGCATGAACGGATCCGCTTCGTCAGGTGAAACTCGATTCAATCATTTTGATAGGTGTGTTTGATTCAGTCACTTCAACATGTGGGTTTGTTTCTGCCACTTCGATAGGTGGGCTCGACTCAGACACTTCTAAAAGTGGACTCGATTCAACCACTAACAGAATAACTAGACTAGCAGAATGGCTAGATTCAACAAGAGAATTTTTGACAAAATTTTCTGGATAACCTTGTTTGCGTATAGAGATAAGTTAATGATTTTTTTATTACTAATGATTAGTATAGCTTGTAGGGCTTTGTTGTGGTTAAAATCATTGTAATTAATAGTAGTTATTTAAACCAAAGCATGATACAAAACTTAACAATTTGTTAAATCTGACTGTAGGCCGGATTTAAGGATTTACTCTGTCGTCCTCGAATGATAAATCAGAATTTTTATTAGCTGTGATGTAATCTTTGAATTGTAATATTTGATGTCAAAGGAAAGGAAAAGGTTCATTAATTTAAATGAATATTTCTCAAATAATTAATCATGGTGATTTTATGACCGACAATGACTACATCGAACTTCGAAGACGGTCTGATTCCTATCGTTGACGGCAACAATGGCGGAGGATGATGTACGGCTTGAGTTGGAGGCTGTGCAGGCTGTCTATGGCGATGATAGCCATCTAATTTGCGACTTTCCGCCTCATCTCACCGTCCACATCAAGCCGCGTACAGCCGACGACTCATCGCAGCAGGTCTTACCCCTTCATTTTTGTCGGCGATTTGGAGTCTAGGTTTTTCATCTATTTTCGATATCGAATGATTTCACTTTTGATAGAGCTTTGTATGGTAGGTTTTTGAATAGAGGATCATTTCTTCTATCCGCTAATCGCAGCATCAATTTCATTTGCCAATCCTAATTGATTTTAATTTTGCTTTATTGTTTTACGAGATTGATTATGGTTTAATCAGTGAAAATTTCTTTATGTGACTAAATGTTTGTAGGTGCTGCCTTGTCAGCAGAATCCCTTCCTGTCTACCCAATTGCCCAAATACAAAGTGGTTTTTTATGAATTTTTGACATGGTGTTTTTTTTTTCTTGCAGTTCGTAGAAGCGACCATTGGAATAAAAGCAAACACTAAGGTATTCCTTCAAGTCATGTCAATGCAATGCATTACCTGATGAAGTAATTTTTAAAATGAAATCAAAATCTTTGACAAAAGTTGGTTGTTGGTTAGCATTTGATATCAAATATTAATGGGAGAAATGGTTTGCGAACCTGTCTCTAATTTTGTTAATCCAAAGAATTCTGTTTAATTTCTGCAGATTCTTGCAAGTAATTGTTGCCATAATATAATATTGTAACATCCATAGAATATTTGAGATTGATTTCATATATTTCATCTGTCATTTTTAAATCCCTGAAAGAATTATTATACCATATAATTGGGACGTGACTTTCATACTTTGACAGTACCCAGAGGAACCTCCCCACATATATATTACTTACATGAAAGGAATGGATGATAGCCGTCAGGCTCATTGGATTACTAGCATACGGAAAAGGGCCGAAGAACTCGCTTCATTCCCAATGCTTGTAGCACTTTGTGAGGTATTTGTTTTCTCACGTTTCATTTAAATCTTAGGTGAATTATTCAACTAATGATATGCTCATACTCTATATATGTTAAAATTTGCATTATATTATCTTGTAATTGTACCTCATCATTCGATATTTATTGTTTATTTACACTAGCCAGTATTCTATGAACAAAATGGCTTGCAAAATGCTACTAAATTTTATATAAATATTTAATTTGGAGCATGATAAGCTAGGAAACTGATATTTGTATAAAATGAAGTCTCATGATGAAGATGGATGTTAAGAGCTAGTTGGAGTTGTGATACAAAAGTACTGGGCCATCAGCTGTTACTTATAGTTACATGTTTTATATAATTATCAAGCATCCTCAAACAACCTGAAAAGTGTTTTATATAGGATCGGTCCTTAATATAATGCACAAATATTGTAGAAGAATGCTAATTATATCTACAACACGTGTGGCAATAATACTGATGGAAAGCCATGTAAACAGCGCCAAAAGCTAAATAGTGATATTATACAAATTATAAATTAGATAAAGTAGCTAGGATCCATAACTCCAAGCTGATCCTTCATCACTATTCGCAATGCTAAAATTTTGGGTGTAAGAACTAAGAGATGGTCATTGAATTTATTTCCACATTAAGGGTGGCTAATTTGTTATTAAACAATAGTGTCAAATCTTGTTTAATTGTGTTGCCAGTATGTCTCTTAGCAAAATTTTGATTTCCAAGAACACATGTTTCTTAAACTAATGAACTTTCTAGAAGATAGTGATTACACCAAACACTATTGTTCATTTATAAGTATAGCTTTGTCTTTGTCAAGTTTTGTGATACCAATGATAAAATGTTAATGTTGGAATACATTTTGAATAGAAATATTGTATGTATGTATGTATATATGTACACACACACACACACATACATGCATACACACATACATATATATGAATGACCAAATTGTTTTGAAAATTTGTTTTACATAATTTTGATCCTTGGCATACCAAATTTATGATTATTGAGCTTAGACAAGTCCTTATATTTATATGCTGATAGTTGCTTCTAGGAGTTTGATATGAGCTTTTGAATCAGTGAATGGACAACTATTCTTCCCAATAGCATTTGTCCATGGGTACAACCAAGTGCTATTATCTCAATACATATCAAACATTGCTACACGCTGAGCTACAAATTCATAGTTGACCTCAACAAGCTCCCAAGAAAATTGTATCATTTCTAAACTAACTTCACAGTGACCCTTTAAGCAGTCTTAACAATCTGCTTAATGCTACTTTTCTTCACATTCTCTTTTTAAGTGATATCTGCATTCCATGTAATGCTACTTCTCTTCACAATCTTTTTTAAACTGACCTCAACATTCCACAATGCTACTTTTCTTCACATTCTCGTTTTAAGTGACCTCTGCATTCCATGTAATGCTACTTCTCTTCACGATTTCTTTTTAAGTGACATCAACATTTCACATAGTGATACTTGCTCTAATAATCAATTGGGATCCTCAACTAAATAGTAATGCTCAATTATTTGCATTTACAACTTTTTGATTTTATTATGGTCCAAATCAATAGTTGTTGCCATCAAAAGGTCGGGAGAATTGTCTTTCTATGATAAGAAAGGCATGATAAAAGAGAACATACTCAATAAGGAGAAAATATTACAGTAATAAATAGTGCAAATTTATACTATAAATAGAGTCGAGTTTGAAATAATAATAACCAGAGATAGACTTTATTGCCTTGAGGTTATGACATAGCAAAAGAAGCATGACCTACTCCTAAAAGCGAAAATAGTGTGAATTAGATGCAAAAAGTTAGTAATGAGGTTCGTGTTAGAGAGGACATGCATAGGATCCTTAAACGAAAGTATAAATAGAGGTTGTTGATAGAGAGTATGGTTAGAGAAAGTTACTCAAGGGTGGCAACGAGAATATTAATAGAGTGCACAGATGTAGTGCAACAAAAGTCACCAGTGTATTTACCATTGGTGAATAAAGGATTTGACGAAGAACTTTTAAAGGTATGGTGAGTGAGGTTGAGGTTGTTAGAGATAGGTGAGGTCAACTGATGGAGCAATGGGTGTTGAGGTCAGATTAGTTTCAACGGAGTGCATCAAATCTGTTGGTATTGATAGCAGGTCTTATTACCATGGGATGCCAATTCATAAAAGAAATGTTAATGCTGCCTGGCATGGATCAAAAATTGGGTTGGGTAAGAGGAAGATGAGCTAGCAGGCCAGAGGATATCTTTCTTGATTAATAGGTGTTCATGGTTATAGCAATGTAGTTCTTCTCTTTCCTTGGCAAAAGTTCCTCAATCGGAGGCCTAACGGTTTGAGGTTTGAGACTTGGGGATTTTCATGCAGTGGTTGGCTACAATCGAAGTGATGCGGAGTTTATGATTGGGTAGGAGGATGCCAACAAGCTTTTGAATAATGAGACCAGAAAATTCAATCTAAAGGCCACAACGAGGTATTGAGAGATCAATATACTATTTTTCCATTTTTGAAGGAAGAGATAATTGTAAATGACTATATTTTTTCTATATTATCTCTCTAGTTCTAATTATTTGTGTGTCCATATATATTTAAAAGTAGAGAACACTTAAAAAAATACAGTAACTGGTAACTTATTTAACATTAATGAAATATTGTCATAATAAATAGTTCAAATTCCTGTAATTAAGTTAGGTGATTATTTAGATATGGTAACATATATAATCTTTTGTATGGATCGAAGTAGTTTGAGAGTTTGAAATGAGCTAGTGTACTTGTGTCCATGCACATTTCCATTGAACTTAAGCATATAGGTAGCTATAATACACCGTATGATTCTTGCATTGAGTAGTTATTTGTTCTAAAATCTGATAATATATCTGCAATTTAAAAAGCTGGTGGAGTTGGACATTAAAAACTACACAATTTTCCTTTTAGAGTTTTATCATTGAAAGGAAATGTTACTTTCTCACCCTATAATCATAAATAATAACCCAAGGATAGTCTTCATACTCTTTTTTAATAGATAGGGGTGCTGGTGCCATTCAGTGATGGTAGTCCTAATGGTTCTAGCGTGTTCTTGTTTTTGAAATGCAATGCTTCTCGTTGCTTATGACTGCCTGCTGTGTGTTTCTTTGACAGCCATCTAAAATGCTTTGTGGGCAAACGTGAAATTTGAAATCTCAAACATTCTAACCAGGGATGTTAAACAAAACTTGATGTTCACCAACAATTTATGTTCGACTTGTAAACATAAGAGCTTTCACTCACAAACTCACCTGCATCCTCATGTATTTTATGTTTAAAACCATCAACTAGGTTTCCAAGGTAGTGAAGAACTTGTTTTAAGTTATATGATGCTTTACAGGTTATTTTTAAAATTATAGACCTTATTTGCATGAAATTAGTTTTTGTTGGTTTGAAAAATTTTTATGCATTTCATATTAATTATCTCGGTTTGCTGATGGCATTCATCTTGATAATAAACTGGCCAACCACTAACAATATCTTTTTGCTTGTCAAATGTTAACAAACTAAAGCTGGTTTATTCTTTGTGCAATAATCAACTGATCAAGCTGCATATGACCCTAGCTTATTTATGTTCGACCTGTTTACACCCTTAATTCTAACACCCTTTTCTCCATCAAAGACACTAATTTTACTCCCTATAGCGGTTTGATTTGTGAATGAGAGTCAGAAGTTTTATGCTGAAAAAATATCTCCCGAGGATTTCAATATGAAATGCACAACCAAGTAAATGCAGAAAACTTTAGGCCACTTTTAAAGCTACCTACATTTCTGATTTCTGATTTTAGCGATATGTGATCTGCATGTCATTTGTTGGTGCATATCTAATTAATTTAATTTTTAGGAAGCGGTGGATCTTCTTACAAATATGAACCATCCTGAAGGAAATTGTCCTTTATGTTTATACCCTTTGGTTTCAAATGATAGATCCGGTACTTCATTACCCTTTATGAAGTTGATGTCGTGCTATCACTGCTTTCACAGGTTAGTTGGTCTGTTTTTCTTGGGATGTACTTGAGAAGTTATAATTATAGCTTGATTTATATAAAACTTCTTTTAGTGAATGCATGATACGTTTGTGGAAGTGGACCCAAGAGAAATATGGAACCAAAGAAATAAACCAGGCATTGGAAACTTCTCCTGAATCAGTTGAAGTCCAAGGAGGTATTTTTGATGCATGATAAGCAATTTCCTATCTTAAAAATTTGTTGGCATCTTTTTTTAGTGCTTTGAATAATTAGACGGTCTGTCTCTTCCAAGTTTTCAGTTATAATACAAGCTTTTTTGTTGAATGCAGAGGAAATTACACATGAATGAGTAATACTCGAATTTTAAACCTGTTGGTGCTGCTAGTTTTAATATTCAGGTTTATACTGCTTCCATGTTATTCTCAAGTGTTCTACCTTTGTAGGAGAGTGGCCTGTTACACCTCATAACTAAGTTGAACATGCAAAGCTTATCACAAGTAAAACTTCAATTCCTCTTTTTCTCTCGCAGCATTCTTGCCAAAGCTCTCCCTCTTGCACCCCGTAGGCTGTTTTCACTTGTAGCATCTGAATACTTCCATTATTAGAGGACATACAACATCATTCATATTTTTTATTTCAGTGCAGCTAAATGAAAAAAGGATTCAAAACTTTTTGATACATTTTGGGAATAGAGACAAATGATTGGGATAATGGAAGGAAGGTGATAAATAGGTCAAAGGTTATATAATAGCGAATGGGACGAGCAGTACAACATTTATTACCTTGGAATAGGGCAATAGGTAAATGTAGATCATAGAGCTCATTAGTGGAAATATTTTTCAGTCGAATCGGATTGCGTGATTGGAGTTTTTGTTGATACAATTCAAGATCTTCGAGAATAAATCTGTAAACGGGTAGTAGTAGGTAGAGGAGCTTATGGATGAAGAGGAACATATGGTGAACATGATTCATAGATAGAAGATGGAGAAAAATATGCGGTCTCGTAAATATTACGTCAATTGAAGTGTAAAGACGAAGAGAAGGATTCTATCTCTTATAACTAGAAATTCTCAAGAAATATACATTAAATAATATAATGAGAGAGTTTGTCATACCAACAGAAAGCACGATAACAAGTTATATAGAACTAAATATTCCAAGTGTAATAGGAATACATAGTTTGACCAAGATAGAAAGTGAAGATGGGCGAGCATTATCAAGAAGAAAGGAGTGATATAATTGATAAGATAATAGACTCTGAAGTCTTCATCCCTTGAAAACCAAGAGGTTTATTCATATGAAATGTGAATGTCCTTGTAGCATCAAGAAGATGTTGGTTTTTGTATTTAACAACGCTATTTTGTTTAGATTAACAGTTAAAAAGTTTAATGAATAATACTGTTGGCAGGACATTAGGTGTGAAATTGAGACCATGTGAGTATTGTCAAGGTGTAAATTATTTATTAAGGTGGAAAATTGGACTTATTTTTTTAGAGGTGAGAAGGTAGGGGCGGGGTGAGGGTTGACCCCACCCAATGACTTGTTATAAAAAAAAAAATTGTGTATTATTCAATAGATATTCTTTGTTAATGTTCTAGGATACTTGAATATAACCTAGTCTCCAAGTATGAAAAATCTTTCAATGATAGTTTTATTTGCCAATTGTATTATCATGAGCCAATACTAATTCTTTATATACTTTTTTGGTCCTATAATACAATTGTCTGATCAGAGCTTCATGCAGTTAGCTTTTAGTAAATATTTCAGTTTAGGAAGTTTCATAGCTGTAGCAATAGCTACGATTATTCTATTTATTTTGTCATATTGAAGAAACCATCTAGAAAGTTGGCTCAACATCTGTAAGGATGTATAGTTATATGGTTTCTTGCTAATTTATAGTTATAATTGTCAGATGATACCTCTACAGCTCAAGTGATTCAAGGTAGCACGAATTTGCAAAAGGCAACTTGCCCAGTTTGTCGTCAGGTGTTTGATGCCAAGGATATTGAACATGTTCTTGAATATCTTGTGATAAACTCATCTATCGCGGTATGAATGTTCTCTTCACTCATGTAAATTTTGGACACGTCCTTACCACGGCCATTTTCTTAAAGTGATTTAGTTTTTACTTTTTTTTTGTTTGTTTACCACTTCTCAGCGGATCTTCAATTAGTCATTCAAGCCTTTTCATGTTTTTTTTTCTGAAATGTAAATTACATAATAGTTCTTTTGATTTATGATACATGATTATCTTGGAAAAAGCTAGAAAACTTAATAAAAAAATGGAAAGCATGAGGCTTTGAAGTATAGATTACTCAAAAGCTAACTGAGGCCTCCTGAAAAGTTTAAAATCTCTCATATGATGGTTATTTATTTGATATTAACAACGCTAAAGTGCAACTTAATTTTTTACCACTTTCAAGGAGTCCTCTTGCAATTGGTTCTCACATTTGTCACATTGAATGATTACCTGATTCTCTAGTTCAAAAGAAAATTCATCACATAACTCACCTGGGCACATAGTACTTTGAAGAACTTCAGGGTCTTTTTTAAAATGAGACAGGAGTTTGGCGAATTGCTAAACTTTATCCTCCTAAAGGAGATGCTTGTTGTAAACAATTTAGAGTTGGCTATGGCCCAAGCTGCACTCACTCGATATCTATGTGAGGGATTTTTTCATTAGGCACTCGGCCAGGAGTAGCCAAGAATTTTGGCTGAATTTCTTAAGCTCATCAATAGTCTTGTTAATGCATAAAAATATAATTGCATTTTGAGTGCTTCATTATTAAGTCGGCCAAAGAATTTTAACTATAAAGGAAAATTTCAGCGATTTCCCAATTTCAATTAATTTGATCTAGAGATTTCTCGATGGAGGAGAGGTCGCATTATTGTCAACAGTACCATTAGGGACCATATCATTGCGGAGGATGAGTAAAGAGTTCAAATCCTTATATTAATAGAAGAAGGGGGTTGTCTTCACCTACTTGCCAATAACCGACTGTTACCTCACTGTGAGCTCCAATTGCTGAACTCTTAGTAGTCATTTAAAACAAAGACTACTTCAAGGGACGTATTGAGTGCTCATATGAAGATCCATTGAAGTATTGTATTTTTTATGAGGATCATAGGTGTGGCGTGAAAGAACGTGACACATACTAAATCCTGTTGATAAGGTTGGAAAGCTAGAGGAATTTATTTTTGTCTGACCCTAGGAGGAGACTCAGGAAAGTATCAATTGTGGAGCAAAGAAATGAGCTTATTCCAGTACAAATGATTTATATTACTAAAGTAGTACTTGTCATTCTCGGCGGATTAGGAGAAGAGACTTCTCGTGCTAATCTCAAATGACTTTGATTGGGAGAGATGAACAATGAACTTAACATTTATATCAAAAACTTTACTTGCAAAAGCGTTGCCTTTCACTTTCATTAAGACAAATAAACCAGTGAACAAAGTCCTTATAATGATGTAATTATTATCATATTAGCAACATTTTAATCGACTCTAGAAGTTCAATGAACATTATATTCAAAAGTTGAGAAGATGAATTGGGGCATTTCTTGTTTCAGAATACTGGATCTCTCTTCAACATTTAAGAGAATTAAGAGATAAAAAAATGCTTATGTTGCCATTTCACATAAAGAGAAAGGGAAAGCTAATTTACAGCTATGACCTAATTCATTATTGTAGGTGACTGTTACGATTCAACCACGAGATTGACACTCTTTTCTATAAACATTAGGACAAGCACAATATCTCTTCAATAAATTAAACAACTCCACAAGAAAACAAAGATAAACACCTACAATTTCAGAGGTAGGTGATCTCTCCCAATTCCTACAATTTGAGAGGTAGGAAATCTCTCCCAAACCTAGACCTAAGACTTACAACTTAATATAATGCATCAATACTAACTGTAGACATTACAAGCCTGTTTATACATAACAATAATAAAAGACAAAATTGCCCTTAGGCGAACAAAAGACAAATCTGCCCCTAAGCTAGGCACCCTAATAACAATACACCCCCCCAACGCCCCCTCGCATTGACTCCCATAAGTGGCCTCTTCTCTCGACCTCCTTTGTTATTGCTATCAAATGGACGTGGTCGATATTCCTCATCATTGTAATCTTCCCCGTGGAACGGATTCAGATCTCGTCCAGGTCTTCTCTTTGACTATCGCAATCATTGTCGAAGGAAACCTCTTCATGGTTTCCATCATCCAGCTCGGTCAGTCTCCATTGTACACGACAGATTTCTCGTTGAATCTCTTCCTGGGTCGAGTCCCATGTATCTCTTTGTGGTGGCATGGTTAGGGCTGGGAATCAGAAGGAAAAAATATTGATGGAGGTGGACTGGGTAGGGGCAGATGCTAGAAAACCCTAGGATGAGACTAGGGTTGAGCTAGCTCTGATATCAAATGATACCGAAACTAGTTATGATGTAGTGGAACAAAAAAACAAAATTTTATTAATATAGAAATAAGGTTAAAACACGACTCAAACAAAAAGATAATACAATAATAGACTAATTTCCGGTTATGCCTTCTGGAAGAGATCCGAACACCGTAGCGGTGTGGCGGGGGGGGTGGGAAAGGTGGGAAATGCTGGGTGGCTTTTTGGGTAGGTTAGTATGGTGTTTTGGTTGATTTTAGGTAAACAAGATAGCAAGGTTGTGGAGGGAGTAGAGGAGGCGATAGAGTGGAGGGATATATCGGTGGTAGGCAGCTAGGGCAGAGATAGGGAAAGGTTCGGGGAGAAGTAGAGGAGGAGATTGGAAGGATACAAAACCACCTCGGAGCATGATACAACCAGAGCATCACTTATCGTCGGATACGACCCTAGAAAGAGGGGAAAAGGACTCCACGAGAGAGTTGAAGAGAACACATCCAGAACTGACTCCCACACACATAGAGGACAACGATTTGCAGACTCCAAGGAAACTTCTACACAAAAGGAACAGGGGGATGGCAAGAAGAATCCAAAAACATTGTAACAGCCTGTGAAGCTTCCCTGGGTCGCGAAAGTTGACGCCTCATATCGCCTTCGCAAGAATTCGCGATCCCCACCCTGCTTTTGCCGTCGCGATGCATCACAGAGGAATTTGGTCCTGTAGGATGATCAAAGGAAAATATGTTGAGATTTTCATACTTATTTTATACTGTTTTTGATGATATTGTACTTTAAAGAAAGGTATTTTTGATGTTTTGTTGCAGGAATGATGAATTAGGGTCATTGGAGCAAAAAAATGCAAAAATGAGCGAATTTGGAGCGAAAATGACCAAAATGTGAAGAATAGAACTTGGGCGCCGACAGCGAGCCCAACGGCGCCAACGGCGAGATTTTCCCGATACTTCAGAATTAATTCACTTAGAAGACCCGCCGACAGCGCCTCCAAGAGGGCCCGCCGCCGGTGGGATGGGCGGTTTTGTCCAACCAGGCTTTGGATGAGGACGAATTTTGGATGGGTGCTTAGGCAACTCTTGGGAAAGCTCATCCACAACTTTAAAAGAAGATTTTGACCGAAAATTGAAGAGAGCCTGGAGGTTTTTGAGGTTAGAAAGGTCCTGAAGGTTGAGGGAGACTCAAAATTGAAGTGTGAAAAAAAGTGTATATAGTCTAAATTGTGAGGAATTCTTCGAGAGATTGTAAGAGTGGAGGGAAAGTGAGAAATTTCTTTCTCCTTGCCGCTTCGAAGAGGAATTCTGTGTGCTGTAAAGAAGGAAGAGATTCAGAGGAACTTCGAGGAGTTTTCTTGGGGAGAAGTTAGAGATAAGTTTATTTACTTGTTGTAGTTGTATGAGTTTGATTTTATATATGAATTCCGAGTTTTGTTGTGTTTTCCCCATGAGATCTGAGTAATTTTCCCTGCCTTTCTCCTTGTCTTGAGATTTGTGAAATGTTGATTTGAGTTGGTGAAGTAATGAAAATGTTTAAGAAATTGTGATGATCTTTTCACTTCGATCTTAATTTACTTTCAATATGGTCAATTGATTTGTTAAAATATGTTAAGTTTTACAACTAATGTGAATATTACATCCAAGATTCAGAGATGTCAAAACTCTTGAAAATTGGGTGCAAATAAATAGGGAAATAAAATTATCGAGCGTAGAATTGGAGATTTTAGAGTGACAGACTAAAATCTCCAATTCGGTTCTATCATTTGGGTGCTGAAGTGTAGATGTTAGCTCTCAGGCGAGGGGAACGTGGGAGCTCCGAAGTGAGAGCCGGTATCCTCCCAACCTAGCCGCAAATTCAGTAAACAAGCGTAGGATTAGTCAATATTTTTTATGTCTGGACCAAAGGATAAAAAATAGGTATGCTTCTATTTGACACAATACAAATTAAACTGATTCATTTTATCCATTCACTATAATTTCTTAACAAGGAGAAGAATGTTTTCTTATATATTGAATATCACATTAAAAGCCTCATTAGTATAATTAGTTATTTAAGAGTTATTAAAAAATTACATATTTATTTTAATTGTCTATTAGTGACAGATAAGCAAATTGAATTTCATTGTTGCGATTAAAGTATTGCTTTCCTAAAATTTTAGTTCGTAGTTCTAATTTTACTCCCTGTGGGATCGATATCTAGGACTTCATTAGAGCCCTATATTACTTGAATGATACGTATACTTGCGTTGATAAGTGTGACTTTACAATTATTGAATATTTATTACATCCATCTTTATCGAATATATAACTGTTATTAAGTTTTGGTACAGTTGCTGAGGAATTAAATCTTTTAGCAGCAGTATTAATTACTTATATTTTTAAGCATATATAAAGTCGCTGTCATGGGATCGAAGCACCCTGCTTCGGGGGGCATTCGGTGCCCGCACCCGGGCATTGTTTAGCGCTCGCTTCACTATCAGAACTTAATGGATGTTGAATAATTTCTTCAATAGAAAAATCTAATAGATATTGGGTGCAACTCTTTTCTTAATGAGTTTAAAATTTTCATAGAAATACTTCAGGACTTCCTCTCGGTGGATGAGAATACAACTGCACAAATGCTAATGGGTCATTCATCGGCCGTCTTCATAAAGATAAAACTTCCCCAATTACTTGCCTATTTCAATGCTTTGATTTTTAAATTTCTTTTGAAAGAAAGAATTTTTCTTAATTTCTTTCACTTAAAATAGATTTTTTTTTCCGACGGGGTAAGCACTCGAATCCGACATGTTGGGATTTTTCATTTAGTTTTCAACCAATGTGCTAGGCATTTGGATATAACTTTAAGTAGATTGTTGAAAAGATCTATATTCCATTGGATTTGTCATCTTGCAAGAGAGCGGAGAATGTAGTTATCAAAGCAAAGGAGCTTGAAATGGTTTGAAAATTCAAATGACAACTAGCATGTTAGCCTAAAGAAAAAAATTAAATCTAAAGTGAAATTTTGCATGATAAAACAATCAAAAGGCCAAATCACAAAGTTTCCATCATTATAATGGTTGGTCTTTGCGATTAGTGAGAAATGAGAGAAGGCTGAAGTTAGACTTCAGTGAATTCTCAACAGAGCATTCGCAGACCAACTTGATTGGAAGAAGAAAAGTTAGAAAGGGTTGTGAAAAGAACTAAGATAAAAATATGAACAAGGGTCAGAATCTAAAATTTTACCTAGGAAGATGTAGAGTTGTGCACCAGAATATTAAAATCCATAAGAACATGTTTTATGCATTCAAAATAGCAATTTTAGTGAAATCATCAGCTAAATAAACATTATTTCTTTTCTAAAACTGGGGGTTTCCTTAAGAATGTACACTTGTAATTACTAGCATGATTCGCTCTCATTAAAATTCCAAGCAAAGTACTTTTTCTTGAGCAATCACAAGTTTAATTGTCTCTGTATTGGGAAGTTTCTATTAAATCTTAATTATTCTCTTGCTCTTTTTTGCAATAAATTTCAATAATGGAAGAGAAGAGAACTAAATATACACTATAAATATCACAAAGATCAGCGGCATGTTTCAAATTAATTCATTAAGGCTAATTTTAACTCCACTAAAGTAGACGTTTTGTATCCGTAGGACATATAATTGCCATATCAATATATACTAATCAACTACAAGGAGAATTCACCTCATTGTTCATTCTCTCATACCCGCTCCAACATTTTCAGTCAAAACTTAGAAGCTACTCACATTCCTACAACCAAGCAAACATCTTCATCCAAATCGATGACATCAACCATTAAGCCAATGACCATATCTTTTGAAGGCACTCGTTTAATTAGTTGTTGTAATTCGGCTATATGTCTTCTATATTTTTCATCAAAGCATGTATTTGCCTTTTCTGAAGTGCTCAAGCCCATCTAAACTTTGAAATATCGATTTTTTTTTTCTTCTATTGTTATTAGTACTAAGAGGACTCTGATATTGCCTACAAACATCTTTGGATCCAACAATAATTACCCCATCTATTTATAACTTTTCTTCTTCTCAGTCCATACATCTTTTCATAAATTTTCTTCGTTTGTTTCCTAATTTTTACCAAACAATTTCTATGTATTTACATATATAACACCAAAAGTTTGATATTTGCATTCAAAACACTTTGACGTCATAAACCCATACATAAATATGTATTTCACTTTAAAAAATTTAATAATAGTGATACTGTTTTTGTGATATTAAAGATTTGACTGTCATGTGTAAATATGAATCTTTAGAGATTAGACATGTAAATACATAAAAATTGTGTGGTATATATGTAAATACCCCTTTTATGTTTCAAAAAGGAAATTATGAAGAAAGGTTCTTGAATTTCCATCAGAATGCTTTGCACCTTGTTGCCATTCACTCACTTAACAATCATTGCTTTGCTTCTTCAGAATCCCATAGAACCAGCGAATGATGAGGAAGACAAAGCAGTTCTTTATTCGGATTTGGAGAACAAGAGAAGACAATATTTTGATGCCATTCTAAAACTCCAGCAGGAAAAAAAGGGTCTGATTGAACCTAAAAAAAACCTCGTAATAATGGCTGGAATGTTCTTACCCGAATCTGTCGAGCCACCAATTTCTTCAGCAGAAGAAAAAAATGAAGAATTTACAGACCAACCTGGCAACCATGGCTTGGAATTGAAGGGAGGCCCCTCCATGAAAGCTTCTCCAAGCAACTCAAATAGAAGGAGAAAGGGGAGTTTCAGAGGTAAGACTAATACAGAATCCAGCAGAAAACAATGGGCTGTGAAGCCAATTAGTACTTCAAAACGATAACAGGCGGATGGATACTGATATATATATGTATATTGAGAAATTTATATACATATCACATAATTTTTATGTATTTACATCTCTAACACCTAACCTTTTGTGTTTGCATTTATTTTTATTGTGAGGTTAAAACTTGAAGTGCTATATTAAATATGAAACTAAAGGTGTTCGATGTGTAAATTCGTAAGAATTGTGTGGTATGTGTGTCAATGCCCTATATCTTTTTTCCTTACTTTGGAGCATTTTGATGTATGAATAATACTTTCAACAGTAGGTAGTATTTATAAAACTATGTCCAGTTGCATTAATTTATAATATGAATAGTTGGTTTCAGGACTGTCAAAACGGCTCGTTGTTCGCGAACAGCTCGCGTTCGGCTCGTTAAGAAGTTCGTGTTCGGGCAAGTTAACGAGCCGAACAAGAACAACACGAACAAAGAATTGTTTGTTCATGTTCGGCTCGAAATACTACTAATTAATTATATATATATATCTTTGATGAGTAATATTTTTAAAAAGTTTAATTGACTACAAGACTGCAAAGATTTAGAATTAATTAAAAATATTAATTAAAATAATAGAATAAAAATTATTAAATTAGATTCAAATGAGGTTTTAATTTAAACAATAATTTTTAAATCTTGCCTCAATCCTTAACATTTTATAATTACGTGATTAAGGTTGTCAAAACGACTTTTTGTTTATGAACAGCTCAAGTGTTCGGCTCGCTAAGCTAATGAGCCAAACACAAACACAATTTCTGAGTTTGCTCGTGTTCGTCTCGTTTACACCCCTAGTTGGTTTTTTGCTTTGTATTTGGATAATATGAATCAACTTAGTTGTGCCGTAGAAAGTTTTGTATTAGTATTAAAGATCTCAATAAGCATAATCCTCTTGTATTTCACTCTTAAAGAGTTGGATGTTAAAAGTTTTTGAGTGATATGCATGTAAATATGAATGTTCAGTTATATAAATCATAAAATTGTCATTCAGTCTTAACTGAATCTTTAGCTCTAATGTTATTTGCTAGAAATGAATCAAAACGGGGAATACATTTATGTCAGATATAATAACGACTCAACCTATCATCTGTCAAGAGGTTTAAGCATCCAGGTGAGCGTTAATCAGTCAAGGTTAGCTTTGTTCACCTTTAGGACAATAGCAATTGTTCGGAATAACCAAGAAATAATAAAGGTGCTTTTACATACATGCCATTTAATTTTTTGTATTTGCAAATTTAATATTTTATTATTGCATGAAGATTCAACACACACAAATAATAAAAAAAAAAGGAAAAGGAATTATGACTTTTTATGTGGAAAAACCCTTTAAAAAAATCACGGTCTAACTCAATCAAAATAATCCACTGTAAGTAACTAAATATTAATATACAATATTTTCTTACAACTGATAGATTTAGGCATTCCATAGAAGTCCTCGTGTTCTGAATATGACAAACATATGTAATGGCCATGGAAAGTTATTTTTAGATCTTCAAGAGAGCATTGTGTTACAATTGTATTTCATATAAAGCATTAGCAAGTGAGGGTTAAAGTCGGTGGTTAGTAGGAGTGGTCTGAGGTCGAAGTCGGCTGATGGGCGATGATCTACAGCTGCGGAGGCCAAAATTTATCATGAAACCTTTTATACAGCATTATACATTACTACCGTATTTAGCACATGTCATTAGCAAACAAGGGCCACTGACAATGGTGACCAGACGCGGCCAGCAGTAGTCGATGACATTATAAATGAAAATATTTCCACTTATATGTGAACAAATCTCCCAAAAACAAAAAAAAAAAACAAAAAAAAAAAAACAAGAGACGCACCAACTTCATTCTACTAGATGCATAAGAAGAGCCATCAAGTGTTCAGACTTCCTATACACAAAAAACAAAAAGAAGCCTCCTCAATCTAATATTATGATCTCGGCCCGGGCGGAAGACCTACGGAACCCCAAGATCTTTTTGAAAAGTTTGACTTTCTCCAGAGCTTCAAGTTCTAGCTTTATAATCAGCGACTCAAGCTTCGACGCACTAAAAAGTATAAACTGTATGAACTCCACTTCATAGAGAATGCCCATAAACCCACTTAGCCTCACAATCCGAAGCCCATCACAATTAAAATTAGGGTTTTTCTTTCTATCAAAAAAGCTTGAGAGGGGTGCGGTAGTATTGCGCACATCTGATTCAGCCTGCGGATTAAGAAAATAAAAAATAAAATTTGGACACTTAAATTAAGATGTACTTCTGGCCTGAAATGTTCAAAAAAAAGGCAATTACATAATTAGCATTTTAAACTTTGCTATTTCATCCGTTTCTCAAATTTTCACTCCAATGTCAAATTTCATAATAATATCCAAAAACTCATATTTTTCAATTTTATCGAACTTCCAAAGTTTGATCTAGCATGCATAAATGCGCTGATTTAGTGTTTCGACAAAATTGACTTGGGTGCTAGTTTTGTAAATAGCTAAGTTTCGAGTGCTATGCATGTAATTAGCCATTCCTGTAATTATGGCTCATACAACAAGCTTATCTGCTTAACAGGAAGAACACAAACATCGCCATGGCCATTTTTTATCCTGTTCTAAATGATATAAACTCTAAATTATGATTTTACATATATACATATATATAAAGAGAGAGAGAGAGAGATGTTAGGTATTGTGGAGCTCGGTTCACTTCCTGATTGGTCAGTCTTGCCTTCTGCTCTAGTTTCCAAGTTAGGCCTTGCCTTTAATGGGCCTAGAAGGGTTTTATTTGAACGCTTCTGGCTGGAAAGAAGAAGTACCGCCTCCTGCTCCCTTTTTTTGGTTTCTTTCTTTTCGGCGGGGTCGTACAAGAGAAAGAAGCAGCAGAGACTTCTTCAGTTCTGCTTATCCGAGAAGGAAGGAGATAAAGGTTTATTGTTCCTTGTTCTATTCTGATGTAGCTCACATGTAGAGAGAGAGAGGGAGAGAGAGAGAGAGAGAGAGAGAGAGAGAGAGAGAGAGAGAGAGAGAGAGAGAGAGAGAGAGAGAGAGAGAGAGAGAGAGAGAGAGAGAGGGGAGAATGAGCTTTTTTTTGTAAACGTCAAGACGATCGACGGTGTAATTCATCAAACAAATAAAATCCTATACAACTTCGGGGACGTAGGTAATTTATCGAACCACATAAATTTATATGCCTGTTATTTTTGTGCAAATTTCTCGTTCCATTTTTGGTTTTATTGCTGTTGTTTTTTCAAAACAATTGGTATCAGAGTCGTAGTTCGGATCTAAGGAAAAACGATAGTCGGAGACGAAGTGAAGGTATCATGGATCGAGAAATTTGATGACGTAAATTTTGTTTATTAGAAGATGCAGATAGAGGACTATCACTATGAGAAGAAACTTCATCTTCCGTTGTTGGGGAAGCGATCGGAAAAGATGGACGAGACTGAATGGAATTTGTTAGATCGATAAATTTTAGGGTTATTCGATTAACTCTATCGAGATTCATTGCACATAAAGTAATTAAAAAGATGACTAATGCAGATCTCATGACAGCTTTATCAGGTATGTATGAAAAGTCATCAGCAAATAACAAGATGCATTTGATGAAAAAGTTATTCAGCTTGAAGATAACGGAAGGTGGTTGTTGCTCAACATCTGAATGATTTCAATATCATCACAAATCAATTGTCATCTGTTGAAATTGATTTTGATGATGAGATATACGTGCTGATATTGTTGGTTTTATTGTCAAATAACTGGGAAACCGTGAGGATAACAGTTAGCAATTCTGTAGATAAATCTAAATTGAAATATGATGATGTTTGTGATTTGATCTTGACAGAGGAGGTGCACAGGAAATATTTTAGCGAGATATCAGGCTCAAGTTCAACACTGAATGTTGATTCAAGAGGGAGATCAACAGGACAGTAACTCAAATAAAGAAAGATTAAAATCAAATTCTGTTCAACAGACAACCTGTTAGAATTGTGGCAAGACTGATCACATAAAAAAGAACTACAAAATTCGAAGAAGGAGAATGATAGCGCTAATGTTGTAACTGAAAAAGTACAGGATTCACTATTGCTAGCAGTTCACAGTTTTCTTGATAACTGGATACTGGATTCAGGGGCTTCTTTCCATGCATCTTCCCACAGGTAGTTAATGAGAAACTATGTTGCAGGTGAAGTTAGAAAGGTATATCTGGCTGATGGAAAAACTCTGAACGTGGTGGGGATGAGAGACTTTGATATTGCACTCCCTAAAAAGAACAAATGAACTTTACAAAGGATCAGACACATTCCTGAGTTGAAGAAAAACAAGAGGGTTGTCATTAATTAGTGTTCTCATATAGCACGTGGAAGATTACTAAAGGACTATTAGTACTGGCTCGGAATAAGAAAACTGACACACTATATATGACTATAGGTTTACTGCACATTGTTGCTACTACAATTGCAGAGAGCACCATAGATTTTCACTCCAATGTCAAATTTCATAATAATATCCAAAAACTCATATTTTTCAATTTTATCGAACTTCCAAAGGTTTGATCTAGCATGCAAAAATGCGCCGATTTAGTGATTCGACAAAATTGACTTGGGTGCAAGTTTTGTAAATAGTAAAGTTTTGAGTGTTATGCATGTAATTATTCATTCCTGTAATTATCGCTCATACAACAAGCTTATCTGCTTAACAGGAAGAACACAAATATCGCCATGGCCATTTTTTATCCTGTTCTAAATGATATAAACTCTAAATTATGATTTTATATATATACATATATATATATATATATAGAGAGAGAGAGAGAGAGAGAGAGATGTTAGGTATTGTGGAGCTTGGTTCACTTCCTGATTGGTTCTGCTCTAATTTCCAAGTTAGGTCTTGCCTTTAATGGGCCTAGAAGGGTTTTATTTGAACGCTTCTGGCTGGAAAGAAGAGGTACCGCCTCCTGCTCCCCTTTTTTGGTTTTTTTCTTTTCGGCGGGTCGTACAAGTGAAAGAAGCAGCAGGGACTTCTTCAGTTCTGCTTATCCGAGAAGGAAGGAGATAAAGGTTTATTGTTCCTTGTTCTATTCTGTTGTAGCTCACATGTAGAGAGAGAGGGGAGAGTTTTTTTTTGTAAACGTCAAGACGATCGACGGTATAATTCCTCAAATAAATAAAATCCTATACAACTTCGGGGACGTAAGTAATTTGTCGAACCACATAAATTTATATGTCTGTTATTTCTGTGCAAATTTCTCGTTCCATTTTTGGTTTTATTGCTGTTGTTTTTTCAAAACAATTGGTATCAGAGTCGTAGTTCGGATCTAAGGAAAAACGATAGTCGGAGACGAAGTGAAGGTATCATGGATCGAGAAATTTGATGACGTAAATTTTGTTTATTAGAAGATGCAGATAGAGGACTATCACTATGAGAAGAAACTTCATCTTCCGTTGTTGGGGAAGCGACCGGAAAAGATGAACGAGACTGAATGAAATTTGTTGGATCGATAAATTTTGGGGTTATTCGATTAATTCTGTCGAGATTCATAGCACATAAAGTAATTAAAAAGACGATTAATACAGATCTCATGACGGCTTTATCAGGTATGTATGAAAAGCCATCAACAAATAACAAGATGCATTTGATGAAAAATTTATTTAACTTGAAGATAACGGAAGGTAGTTGTTGCTCAACATCTGAATGATTTCAATATCATCACAAATCAATTGTCATCTGTTGAAATTGATTTTGACGATGAGATACACGCGCTAATATTGTTGACTTTATTGTCAAATAACTGGGAAACCGTGAGGATGACAGTTAGCAATTATGTAGATAAATCTAAATTGAAATATGATGATGTTTGTGATTTGATCTTGACAGAGGAGGTGCACAGGAAATATTTTAGCGAGATATCATGCTCAAGTTCAACACTGAATGTTGATTCAAGAGGGAGATCAACAAGACAGTAACTCAAATAAAGAAAGATTAAAATCAAATTCTGTTCAGCAGACAACCTGTTGAAATTGTGCCAAGGCTGATCACATAAAAATGAACTACAAAATTCGAAGAAGAAGGAGAATGATAGCGCTAATGTTGTAACTGAAAAAGTACAGGATTCACTATTGCTAGCAGTTCACAGTTTTCTTGATAACTGGATACTGAATTCAGGGGATTCTTTCCATGCTTCTTCCCACAGGTAGTTAATGAGAAACTATGTTGCAGGTGACTTTGAAAAGGTATATATGGCTGATGGAAAAGCTCTGGACGTGGTGGAGATGAGAGACTTTGATATTGCACTCCCTAACAAGAACAAATGAACTTTACAAAGGATCAGACACATTCCTGAGTTGAAGAAAAACAAGAGGGTTGTCATTAATTAGTGTTCTCATATAGCACGTGGAAGATTACTAAAGGACTATTAGTACTGGCTCGGAATAAGAAAACTGACACACTATATATGACTACAGGTTTACTGCACACTGTTGCTACTACAATTGCAGAGAGCACCACAGATTTGTGGCATTATAGGCTTGGTCACATGAGTCGGAGGGGCATAAAAGAAATTCAATCCAGAGGCAAGCTACCAAAGCTGAAGTCAGTTGATCTCAGCATGTGTGAGAGTTGCATCACGGGGAAGCAGAAGATTGGTTTCTTGAAAAATGGCGGCACCAAAAACAGAAAAACTAGATCTTGTACACAGATGTGTGGGGACCTCCTCCAGTTGCATCTCGTGGAGGCTTTCGTTACTATGTCACATTCATCGACGACCGCAGCAGAAAGGTACGAGTTTATTTCTTGAAGCATAAATCTGATGTATTTGATGTTTTTAAGACTTTGAAGGTCATAGTTGAGACAGAGTCATGCTTAAAACTAAAATGTTTGAGGTCTGACGATGGTGGTGAGTACATTGGTGGGTTCAAGGAGTATTGTGCGGCTTATGGTATTAGAATGGATAAGACCATTCCAGGGACACCACAACAAAATTGAGTTGTAAAACGTATGAATAGGATCATAAATGAGCGGGCTAGAAGCATGAGATTGCATGTCGGACTACCAACTTTCTGGATGCGGTCAGCACTGCCATTTACTTGATCAACAGACGGTCATCTGTTTCATTAACTATGAATTACCTAAGGGCTGGAGTGGAAAAGATGTCAAATTTTCTCACCTTAAAACATTTGGATGTCTTTCTTATGTGATTATTAATCATGATGCTCGTAGAAAGCTTGAGGCTAAGTCAAAGAAATATTATTTCATTAGCTATGGAGACGAAGCATTTGGCTATCGTTTCTGTGATTATCAGAATCGGAAGATCATAAAAAGCAACACGTGATTTTTAATGAGAATATCATGTACAAGGACAAGACTGGTATAATTTATAAAGCAGTTCCTCAGAAATCCGAGCTCGTACGGTTTAATGATCTACCAGAGGGCACGATACGGGTCAGTGATGGAAGTGATGAGGAGAGTGAGTTCAGGACACCCATTCCTATTGTTCCGCAGTCAGCTTCAGAGCCATCAAACCCTACAGCTACAGTTCGCAGGTCAGTCAAGAACAAACATTCTTCACCGTGTTTCCCACCAACCTTAAACTACATTCTATTAACAGATGGGAAAGAACCACAAAACTATGAAAAAATCTTGCAAGATGAAAATTCGAGCAATTGGGAGCTAACCAAGAAAAAATATAAGCTGAAGTTGTGCTAGACTTCAGTTGGTCTTCTAACATAAAAACAGAGGTTTTGAGTTGTAGAGGTGGAGGATATCACGTTGAAGGAAAGGATGACGCAGTCAATGGGTGGTGCAATCAGTATTCAAATCTCTAAGTGAGAGAATTTTTGGGTATTGTGGAGGCCGATTCATTTCCTGATTGAGCAGTCTTGCACCTATGGAAACTAATTAAATTTGGAATGGAAACTAATTAAATTTGAAATCCGGTCCTGCGGCTTCTATTAGCAGTTTTTATGACTGGAAATTATTCGAATTGATTTCTATTGTTATATTTTGCTTCATTATTGTTTGCTGCCTCTCTTCCTGATGTATCCCTCCTGCTATAATTTTCAAGTTGGGCCTTGCCTTTACTGGGCCCAGAAGGGTTTTAACACAGATACTTCAAGATCAGCTTGCTAGCACACTTACTCCCTACTAAGTTCAAATTAGTTGCAAGCTGAAAGACTCAATGGCACACTAATGTAATTATTCATAAAATAAAGGGCATTTTAAGCATAAATCTTATTCAACACAACCTAAAACATTTTCACAAATTCATATAAAACTTTTTAACGGCCATACCTCTAGTTCAAGCTTCTTGAGCACAGGGGCATTTTGCAACAAAGAATCAAGTGCCATGACATGCTTCGGATCCACAAATTTGAACTGACTTAATAATACTTCCTTCAAGCAACTATAAGTTGGGAATTGCACAAATGCATCCCATCTTGTCACAAGCTGCCAAAAGAAAGTATTACGTAACATATTAGAGATTGAAGATAGCTGCAAACTAAAAAAGAATAAAGATAAGGGAAACTTACATGCATACCATACATTCTCATGTATTTACATATCTAACACCCAAATTTTGATATTTACATATATAACACCTTGGTGTTATATATCTCTGCATGAAAAGGTGTAATTCACTTTTAAAAGAATAATGATAGTGGTTTCTTTTATGTGAAGTTAAGGATTTGAGTGATATGAATGTAAATATGAATGTTTAGGTGTTTGATAGGTAAATACATGATAATTGTGTGGTATGTATGAAAATGCCCAAAAGAGCAAAAAAAAAAACAGAGAGAGAGAGTCAAATCAGTCACATTAAGAGAATTTTGTTGCAGCTCCAGCCTCTCTATCTTTGGAATATTGCTTAGGCAGCTTGTAAAACAGTACATATCCTCATCCTCACTATCACTATCAAAACCTCCATCATCATTCTTCAACCTTAATGATAAGGAAACAAGATCTGGTGTATGTTCAAGATGGATATCAGCAAAAACTCCCTCAACCACCAATTCTTGAAGCATAGGAGCATTCACTTTCAGATGAAAATGACGATAGCAACCAATAAAGACTAACTTTCTCAGAAGTGGACATTTGGAAACAAGTGAAGCGAAATCGACCGGCAAAATGCTTATATTTTCAAGGAGAAGAGTGGTGAGGCAATTAAAACCATTAAAACCATGGGGAACCTTAAATTTACAATCACTCAAGTCCAGCGATACTATAGCATGACAGAAGTAAAAAGCAAGAGGTAACTTGTACTGGTGGACTGACCAAAATTTAAGAGACAGCTCCTTTACATATTTTCTGGACAAGAAAATCAGCCATCTGTCCACAAAGGCAATGTCTCTATGCCATTAAAGCCATCAAAGACAAACCGATGAATGAGGCCAATATGAAGTAAGAGGACGTGATCGACAATGCTCTCGAGTTTATACTTTGAAGTTGATGAGAAAGTTCGCTTGTTGAATATGAGATGGGGGATGGTACACCACTGATATCGCCACCTGGTAGATAGAATGCTAGTACGTACTGCCTCTGCTATTGGTAAGCACATGAGTATAAGGTCAATGATGTTGCTTGGCAGAGTGCTAATTCTATCATCTGTTGCAAGCTTGTGGCAATTCTGAAAACGAGGAAAACCAATTGAGACCAGAAAAACCAACCGTGAATAATATTTTTTGAGATTCATGAAATTTTAGACAGAATATGTAATTCATAAAATAAGAACTTGTTTGGAACCGCTTATTTGTTATTTGTGAAAAATATGTTTATTTAGTGTCTAAACCATTTTTATCTTTTGGTTTGAAAAGTAAATCAAATTAAATTAAAAAAACCTTTTAATTTGCATATTTTTTAAATTTAGAAAACTGTAAAAAATGAAAAATTTCTCAAAACAAGGGCAAGTAAGGAGCCACTTTTGTTATTATTATTTTTTAAGCCATTTTTATTTAGTATGTTTTAACTGCTTTTAACTTTGATTTTAAAAATAAATCAAATTATTATTAGAAACGCTCAAAAAATATTTTTTATATTTTGAGCAATTGCAAAAATAACTATTATCACTGGCCACTAAAGACAACTGCCAAAACACCATTATTTAGTCAGCCGTCTGCCACTACCATCACATAATAAACAAAAATATATTTTAAAATAGCAAATATGTTTTATTTCAAATACAAGTATAAACAAAACAAAGTAATAATAATAATAATAATGATAATACTAATAATAATAATAATAATAAACTAAAAGTGATCCTAAACCACCCTAAGTCTATTCTGTGGTAAGAAAAAATATGGACAAACTATCAAAATCCAAGGATTATGTGGGGAAAAGCATTTCCGCTAAATGCTCCATCACAAGTAACTCTAGCAAAGATAAATATCATTAAGAAATTGATCATATAAAAAGTGAATCTAAAACACATGAGAAAAACATGAAAAAAAGTGGAACACAATCAAGTACTTCCAAGGATAAAATATAATTCAGATTATACGACAAAATGATTAGCTAGAGAAGTGGATCATTAGGTACCAAGTTGAGTGATATCTAAAACCGAACAACATAAAGCTTAAACAACGATTTAAGATTCATAATTAGCAAATCAAGAACTCATATGACATTTTCATTCCCAATATGAAACTATTTTCCACTCTCTTAAAATATCTCATAATCTCCCCCTTATATGAAAGTCTCAATATTGTTCATCACTCGCCCTCCAATGGAGACTTTTCAACATCATCAACTAGTCATTCACCAAGAGTACTCAACTATGTCAAGCTTATGTGGTAGTCGTCACCTCTTAAATATTATTCGACCATGACAAATGATGTTAAGGCTTATAAGAGTAGCAAATCATATGAAATAGTTGATTTTAGAAGTGCGATTAGCTCTTAATAGAAGGCCCAAGCTGAGCACAATATGCAAGTTGATAGACTCATTAATCTAAAATGTCTAAACAAATGGGGTGTGGGTCATAACTAATATATTAAGATCTAAATTCAATAACACTATTATTTAAGTTTATTAAGTACTTTGATATGAAATTATGCGGTTCTTTTCTTATCCCAAGAGGTTCTTGTTCTTCACTATCATCGCCTGAAATATATACAATAATAATTATCACTTTATCTTCAATTGAGTTATTTATAAAGAGTGTATGATCTCCTTGATTTTGTCTACATCCCATTCCACACAAGGCTTTTGTGATTTTTCAAACCATGTTTCAACCCATATGATGCATTTTTTTTACTTTGCATGCCTAATTTTCTAGAAAGAACTTATTGAACCATTTCAAATAGGCACTTTTACATCATATTATTCTATGGACCTTTCAAAAAAAAAAATTATATATGAATTATATTCATTTTGAAAATTACAGTAAATGTTTCCTAATAGTCTATCCAATAGGATTGAGTACATGCTTTAACTATTAGCCTGTCTTTATAAGTTCTTAAGCTTCAATCAGTATAATATTTTAATATAAAAATATATTTTCAAACTACAACTTTTTTCCCATTAAGAAGGGTAACCCAATCATCTCCAAAGTTCGATTATTTCCACCAAAGGCATTCGTCGCTTCTCATATGACTTCCTCCAGATTCTTGTTTCCAAATGCCTCATATAAGGTTTGTAACTTTTTTAATAGTGTTAACATTTATGAGAAAGGCTTGATGTGCAGGAGAGAAATATTTAAATGATAAGTAAGAGCTGTTAGTAAAGAAGGTGTTCAATATATTTTCTAATAACTTTCAATATAGGATAATTTAATTAATATCGTTATTTGTAGAGGTAGAAAGATTATATTATGCCTTAATTAGTTCTTGAAAAGCACAATGATTAGCCAAAAATATCAACTTACATATTTACTTTTGATTTATTTATGAATAAGAAAAGATTTACAATAAAGTCTGGGACATGCAATACATTGTCGAGTGAATGACAAAGAAATGATATATTTTCTGTCTTACAGTAAAATCAATAATTTAATTTTTTTTACTACTAAGATAGAGTTGGTAGGTTATAAGAGGTTGTTATGCGGTTTATGACACTCGAGTGAATTATCTGAGTATTAGAGGAACTATTTGAAACACAAAAAAAATAAAATTATTGAAGTTTTACCAATTTGAAACATACATGTCTTTTCAAAAGAGTTTAAATTATTTTCACAGTCATTTTTATTTTAGTTGAGCCCTTCTAATTCCATTAAATAAATTTATTATTTTTTATTGGCTCTTTTTATCCACCACAGAATGCAGACCTTGCATGAAATTTCCAGCAACTTTTCTTTGATATGTACATTTGCGTCTTGCAGTAGTTGCACAATAGGATGTCTTTCTAATAAAAAAGTTGCCCTTCATTCTTGCTATGTCCAATGGCGATCAATCCTCCACTTTGTGTTTTGTGATAGACATAACTAATCCTTCTCAGTTGAGAGTTTCCAGCATTACTATCCTTCTTCAACTTGTAAAATGGAGAAGACTTCATTAAGTGATGGCATAATTTTATTTTGCCAAACATTTGGGTACAAGGTTGGTCAATGTTGAGACATACACAGAACTAAAAAATCATTTCCTTTTCAACATATTGTTTTAGAGTTGCAGCATCATCACTCTATTCCATCTCTAGATCTAAATAGCAATCTAAATATAATTGAAAATTTTCATTATATTGAAGTATCCAATGAAAGATAGTCACCTTGCTCGGTGGTTGAGAGTTTTGCTAGATTTTATAGAAGAGGGTAGATTCCTGAATCTCTGAATATGTTTGCCTAATAGATTCCTAAACTTCATTTACTATCACGAAGAACTCATAAGATCCACTATCTAGCACCATAGTTTTACATAAACATGGCAAAATTTTGAAGTTGTATTAATTTCAAAGTGTAAACTCTAGGTCCATAGGATATATTGGAGGATCAATAAGGTCTAAGTTTTCTTTTTTCCTTCAAGAATGTATACTCTATCTTTTTCCTTCAATAATGTAAACATTATCTAAGACCAGTTTAAATAAATCCTTTCATCTAAACATATGAGATTGTAAACCATGGAGTTCTTCTTTGATTAACTTAGTTTGATTCTTACCATGTATGATGATTGGCTCCCCTTAAGAAGTCAGAACTTCAAGAAAATTCATCTTCGTCCTCTCGTATTCATCTTCGTCGTTGCTTCGAACTGGCTCGATTTCGCTCGATTTGCCCTAGCTCCGATTTGTTCGCCGCTTAAAAGCACGGATCGACTTTCAAAGACTAACAAAAGTGATCCAATTCGAGTTGAGATTGTCCCAGATTTGATATTTGAAATATTTTTGAAGTTTTTGTTATATTAATTAAAAGTCAAAAAATATTAAAATTTGATATGTTTACAACTAAGTAAGTCTCTACGAGAGAAATCCAACAAAACCAATGTCATTAAGGTAACAAATATTACATTCAGAATCTGGATAAATTCTAGGATCCATCAAAGGTCACTTTTTTTTTCAGTCTTCTCTTTCCTACTTGTCTTTTCAGTCTTCGCTTTCCTACTTGTCTCCTTCAAGTATATCTCAATTATTATCCAAACGTAGCTTGAATCCAGACTCAAAATGTAATATTTTTACTATTAAAACACTTAAATGCTGATAAAATGTTTTGAAAAATTAATCCATTTAGGATGCTTGGAATTAAAATACAAGTTTTAAAACCTCTTGATCCTTTTAAATTCAAAAAATCAATTAACTTTAAACACTATCATATAAAAAAATTTCCAAATTCCTTGAAATTGGTGATTCATATTACACAAATAACGATGAAGATAGTTTCTAACAAATTTTAGAAAGTTTTTAATCAACTTTTTTGCTTGAAACTTTCATATTACAGAGACAATTGTAACAATGTAAAATTTTGAAATATTAAGCCTATTAAGGGAGGCAATATTGATTAGAACTAAATTATCGAAGCAATTTCTATCAAAATTTTGTATCCACAATTAACTAACAGAGTCATAAAAATAAGCCAAAATCAATTTTTTTGGAAAAAAAAAATAAATTAAATAATTATATTTGCATCAACAGGATTTATTCTGCTCAAATACGTCACTAGTTTAGCACCCAGATTAGTAGCAAAATTTCATCAAAAGTCAGGTAGCCGAAACAGTGAAAAACAATAATGATAATAATAATAATAACCCCTATTTTGCTCTTGCTCGCCCAACCGTATTTTCTTTCATTAAAAATTCTATAATAGCACAAACACAAATATAAGTTTGATTATTCATTTTAAAGATATAAATATTAATCGTAAGATTTATATACATACCACTCAATTCCTATGCGCTTACATTCCTACCACCTACACTTCCAACTTTCACATACATGCCTCCTCACCCATGCATGAACAGATATATCAGCCTTTTAAAAAGTTAAGATTGTGATAATTTTGATGTGATGTAAAAATTTTGGAATAAATAAATATAACAAGTAAAATTTTACATAGGAATTGGGTAGTATGTAACTAAATGCCCCATATTAATTTATAAATGAAAACATTTTCACTTATATATGAACAAATCTCCCAAAAAAATGAAACGAATCACAAGAAACACATATTAACTTCATTTTACCAGCTGCATCCAAAGAGTTCATACTTCCTGTACATAAAAAAAAAGGGAGAATTCTCCTCAATCCAAGATTACAATTTCGGCTCTGGTGGAAGACCTTCGGAACCGCATGATCTCTTTGTAAAGCTTGACTTCCTCGGGCGCTTCACGATCTAGCTTTATAATTAGCGACTCGAGTCTAGATGCAGTTGAAAGTATAAACTCTATGAACTCCACTTCAGTGCGGACGCCCACAAGCTCAGTTAGCCTCACAATTCGAAGCTCGTCTAATTTAAAACTACGGCTTTCCTTCCTATCGAAAAAGCTCGAGGTAGGTATGGTGGCTATAGACTCGTCTGAGTCAGCCTGCAAAACAAAATTACACACTTAAATTTGGATGTACATACCACTCAAGATTTTGCTATTTACAAAACTAGCACCCTGCAGTAATTCAAATTTATACTCAAATGCCAAAGTTCATAAAACAATCCAAACCCTTATTTTTCATTTTTATCGAAGTATAAATGATTTGATCGTGGCAAGCGTAAATGCACCGGTTTAGAAGTTCAAAGAAATGATATGAGTGTTGATCTTGTAAATAGCAAAATATCAACTAATATGCTTGTAATTATCCCAAAAGGAGAAGAAGTTCAAGCGCTACTCATGTAATTTTGGCTTATATATCAGGCTTATCTGCTTAGCAAGTAGAAATCAATATGGCCATGGCCATTTTTTATCATGTTCCAGGTGATATTAACTCTAGACTATGCTATATTAATCTTATATATATATAAGCATAGAGATAATCAATAGATATAAACGTGCGCGGACATGATTCTCGACAATCAATACAGAATTTTCAACTAGATTTCATATTCATAAATAGCTCATAAATATCTTGAAAAGTGAATGAGACAAAATACAAACAATAACTTCTGTTTCATTTGCTAAAACACAAATACTTGACTTCCTCAAGATCTGCTCGCTAACACCCCTACCATCCAGCTAAGTTCATATTAGTCGCTGGATAATAAACTCAATATGGCACACTACTGTAGTTATTCTTAAAATAAAGGGCCTTAAATGTTTTCACGAATTCATATAAAATTCTTTGCAGGCATACCTCTAGTTCGAGCTCTTTGAGCACCGGAGTATTTTGCAACAAAGACTGGAGTGCCATGACATGCTTCAGATCTTCAAAATTGAAGCAACTTAAGAACACTTTCTTCAAGCAACTATAGGTTGGGAATCGCACAAATGCGTGCCCTCTTGTCATAAACTGTAAAATTATTAGGCAATATATTAGGGAATTGATGGCTACAAAGTAAAAGAATAAAGAAAAGAGAAATTTACATACTATACAATTCTCATGTATTTACACATTCAACACCAAAGTTCGATTTTTAGTGGGCTTTTTTATGTGATGCTAATGATTTGAGTGGTATGAATATAAATATGAACGTTTCGGTGTTTGATAGGTAAATACATGAGGATTTGTATGCATGTAATATGCCCAAGAATAGAGGGAATAAAAAAAGAGTAAAAAATCAATCACATCAAGAAAATTTTGTTGAAGCTCCAGCCTCTCAATCTTGGGAATATTGCTTAAGCACTTGTTAAAATAGCACTCTTCCTCATTGTCAGTATCTCCATTCTCAAAATCCTCTTCCTCGTTATCAAGCTCTTCGTCTTCATCCTCCAACCCTAATGATAATGAGGCAAGATCTGGTGTATTTTCAAGATGAATGTCAGCAAACACCCCCTCAACCACCAATTCCTGAAGCTTAGGAGCATTCAACTTAAGATGACAACAGCAATAGAAATCAATAAAAACTAACGTTCTCAGAAGCGGACATTTGGAAATAAGTGATGCAAAATCAATCTCTGAAATGCTTATATTTTCAAGGAGAAGAGTGGTGAGACAACCGAAACCATTAAAATTACGTGGAAGCTTAAATTCACAATCATGCAAATCCAGAGATACTATGGCTTGACAGGAGTAAAGAACAGTAGGTAACTTGTATAGGCTGCCTGCACAGAATTTAAGGGCCAGCTCCTTCAAATAGTTTCTGGATAAGAAAACCAGCCATCTGTCAACGGGGGCAATGTCTTTTATGCCACAATAGGCATCAAAGACGAATTTGTGAATGGGACCGGTGTGAAGTAAGAGGACCTGATCGACAACGCTCTCAAGTTTATACTTAGAAGTTGATGAGATTGTTTGCTTGTCAAATATGAGATGGGGGGTGGTGCACCACTGATATCGCCATCTGCTGGATAGAATACTAGTACGTACTGCTTCTGCTATTGGTAGGCACATGAGTATAAGTTCGATAATGCTGCTTGGCAGAGTGCTAATTCTATCTTCCATCTCAAGCTTGCGGAGCTTCTGAAAACAAGGGAAACCAAATGAGATCAGGAAAAACAACTGTAGTAAACAAAAGATGTTTCACAAAATAAGGATTTGCTTGGAACCATTTTTATTTTGCATTTGTGACAAGTATGTTTGTTTAGGGTGTTTTAACTGTTAATGTCTTTTGTTTTAAAAACAATAAAAAGGAAACTTTTGATCAGCCTTTTTTTAGATTCATAAATAATTAAACAGAAGAGGCATTTCATCAAACAAGGGCAGGTTTGACACTTATATAATTATTTTTTTTAAAAAAAAATTATTTTTTAGTTCGTTTTAACTTTGATTTTAAAAATAAATCAAATCCTTAATAACAACACTAAAAAAATACTTTTTTTTGTGTTTTGAGCAATTTTTAAAAAACAATTATTATTGTTGACCTCCGTGAACAAACCACCACCATCATTGCCTAGTCAGTCGTCACCATTGACCCATCGGCAAATGCCACTACCACCAAATATGTTTTATTTCAAAAACAAAGATGAACAAAAAAATCTGAAGTTAAAAATATAGAAAACAAAAATTAAAAGTGATTATAAACGACTCATAGTCCATTGAAAAGCAAATAATACATGAATAACTCTAAGGATTATGTGGGAGAAAGTACATCCACTAAACGGATTGATAATAAACAAATATCTTCAGGGACTGATAATAAAAGAAGTAAATATAAAACACAAGAAAAAACAACGAAAAAAGTGAAACTCTAACCAGAACTTACAAGGCTAAAATATAATTCTCATTATATGACTAAAATATAGTTCTCATTAGGGGGCCAACTTTAGTAATATCTAAAACCCATCAACATAAAATTTTAAACAATGATTTAAGATTCATTATTAGCAAATCAAGAACTAAATTCTCAATTTTATTTCCAGTGGAACTATTTTCCACTCTCTTAACATATCTCATAATCTTCCCCTCACATAAAAGTCACAACATTGGTTATCACTACCTTATAATGGAAACTTTCAACACTATCAAGTACTCGTTCACCAAGAGTACTCAACTATGTCAAGATGGGAGTCATCATCACTACCTTTAATGTTCAATCATGAAAAATGATGTTAAGATTTGTTGAGTAGCAAACCATATAAATTGGTTGATCTTAAATGAACAATCAACACTTATACCACTTGTTAGGTGGCGGATCATAAGAGACCCAAGTTAAGCACAATATGCAAGCTGATGAACAGTCAACCTAAGAAACTTGAACAAATGGAGTAAGGATCACTACCGGTATGTTAAAATCTAAATTCAACAAATGGGGTAAGGATCACTACTGGTATGTTAAAATCTAAATTCCATAACACCATTACTTAAACTTTACCAAGTTCTTTGATCTCAAATTATGCAGCGCATTTTTTTTCCCTCAAGTGATTTTTTCTTCACTATCATCACCTATAATATATACAATAACAATTGCCACTTTTCTTCAATTGAGTTATTTATAAAGTGTATGATCTCCTTCACACACAGGGCTTTTGTGATCTTCCAAACTATGTTTCAACCCATACGGCACCTTTTCTTAGTTTGCATGTATGATTTTCTAAAAAGAAGTTATTGATCTTAGTGGAAGATCCAAAAAAAACTTCTCCCACATCACACCATTTAAAAAGACATTTTTACATCATACCATTCTATAGGCCATTCAATGTGGCTACAAAAAATCCATATAAGAATTGCATTAATTATTGCAGAGAAAATGTTACCTAATAGTCTATGGAGGATTGAGTGTTACACTTCAGCTACTAGCCTACTAACATAAATTTATCGCTTTGTACGCTTCTATCAACTTTATATTTTAATATAAAAATATATTTACAATTAGTTTCCATCAAGAAGGGTAACTCAAATGAATTACTTCCAATTTTTGTTTCCAAATGCCTCATACAAGGTTTGCAAATTTTTAGTGGTGCTAACATTTATAAGGAAGACTTTATGTGTAGAAGCGAGAAGAGAAATAATCAAATGATTATTGTGAGTTCTGAGGAATAGAAGGTGTTCAGTATATTTTCTAATACCTTTTAACATAACAATAGGCTAATTGAATCATTACTGGCAAAGAAGGAAGCTTAGCCTATGCCCTAACGGAGCCTTTAACTTATTATAGAGCTTGGATGTGCTCCATCCTTCATGTATAACTTTGAAGTGGTTTAGTAGTACAACTAGGATCAAACTCTTAATATCCTTCTAATGTACTGATAGCCAAAATGTTATGAGAGAAAATATCGAGTACGTTAGATTAATCTTTCATATAAATGTTCTCCCCATGAAGAAAAATTTGGCTAAAGAATGCTTGTTTTTCATTAAATATGAAATTTTGAAAGGTCAAGTGATAGTTTTTATACCCATTGAGGGCAAGAATATCCTATAAACAATTAAATGCTCAAGAATCAAGTTTACACCGACATTATTTATCAATGTGTATGCAAACAACAAAAGATTATAGGATAATTTTTTATAAATATATCAATTCTGCCAAAAAATAGTAAAGGCGTTTAAATGGATTGGAATTCAATCACTTCAAAGAGTTTATATTAATAAAAAATATTTTAAATTCATAATAGCTTCTCCTTAATATCCTTTGGGACCTTGATTTGTAATACAAGAGCTTTGGGAACTTCAAGTAAGTTTTTATTTTTTATTTTTACCATTTTATTTTGTTCGAGGGCATTGAGAATGGAGGATTGATTAATGCTTTCTTTGCTAAAATAGAAGACAATGTTTGGTTGAAAACAAAAAAAAATCTAGGAGTTAGCAATGCTGAATTTTTTTTGCTGCCTTTAAATAATTTTTTTATAATGGTCACAAAGGTTGTAAGAATATAACTCACAAAACTTTATATGATCAAATATAGCCATGTCATTTTAATATAATGAAAAATAAATATTACATTCTTTTAGCTCTAGTGCTTTTCAGGATTTTTTTTTTATATCCCCAAATATAGGAGTGGATTAACATAAAATATGTGATTCACTTAAAGAAATGAATCCTCCACCATGTTCAGCAATCTAAAAAATTTTGAAATAAAATTTTTAATGTTCACATCTTTGGATAATGAAGTAAACATATATTTAAAAATTTTAAGAGATAGATGTCCTAACCTATAGAGATGACACCAAATACTGTTTTTATTTAAACGAGATAAAGAAAAAAAATGAATAATTATTATGACCATTGTTTTCTTCAAATAGGAACACTCCATCATTTTCTCTAGCTTGCTCAATCCTCTTCCCCGTAATTAGTTCCTGAAAAACATAGTGTTAGTAAACAATATCAACCTACGTATTTGACCTTTGATTATTTTATGAATAAACAAAACATTTACAATAAAATTAGGGACATGTAGTACATTTTTTAGAGTGAAAGAGAGAGAAATGAGTTTTTTTTTTTTTGTTTTGGGTCTTATAAAAAATGTTTTAGGAGCCATCAACAATTTTGTTTCTTTTACTAATATAGGGTTGGTAGGTCAAAAAGATTGCCATGTAATCCACAAAACTCTAGTCAATTACCTGAGTATTAGATGAAATGCTGAAAACAAGAAAAAAATGTATTAAAATTTTACAAAATTTGAGCTAGAAAACATAATATAAATGTCTATTCATAAGAGTTAATTTTTTTTCTTAGTCATTTTCACTTGAGTTGAGCTCATCTAATTCTGTAAAACAAGTTTATTCTTTTTTATTGGCTCTCTTTATATCCACTATGTACTTGAGGTCTTCCATTTCTTTGATAGGACTATGCATCTTGCAGTAGTTGCACCGTATGTTGTCATTCTAATAAAAAATTTGCCCTTCATTCTTGGTTAAGTCCAATGGCATTCCATACTCCACAATGTTTTGCCGTAAACAAAAATAATCTTTTCAATTGGGCATTTCCAACATTACCATCCTTCTTCAGCTTGAAAATGGAGAAAAATTCATGAAGTATGGCATAATATTTTTTGCCAAAGATTTTGACATAAGCTTGGTCAAACTCTAAGTTGAGACCTACACAAAACTCAAAAATCTTTTCCTTTTTAACATATTTTTTTTAGAATTACAACATCATTCTTATATTACATCTCTAGATCAAAATAGTAAATCTAACTATAATAAAAAAATCTTCATTATATTGAAGTATCCAATGAAAGATATGTTAAAGTGCTTGTTCGTTGAGAATTTTGTTAGATTTTATAAACGAGATTATAGTCCTAAACCTCTGATTAAGTTTTTCAAACAGATTCCTAGACTTTATTTAATATCGTGAAGAACACATAAAACCCACTAGCTTCGAGCACCATGGAGTGCCATAACCATGACATAATTATGATGTTTTATTCATCTCAATGTGTAGAGTTAAAATGCATACATATAGATAGATTTCATAAAACCAGAATCCAATATGATCAAGTATATTTTTTATAGTGAACCAAAGTTTGCTAATATAAAATGGCTTGGCCATTATATGCATTTGACCTATTATTATTCATGCTTAGTCTCTCTAACTCGTAATCATTCAAGCTACATACATGGAAGCTTCTATGAATAACTGTGGAATTATGCTCATTATTATTTGCTTTATTCTATTTAGTACTTGCTATATTTTGTCATAGTATAAAAAGGATACTTCCTTAATTATAGGTGTTTATGTTTATTTCATAATTATAGGAATTACTTAATTGTAGGAAGATTTCTTTCTTTTTTTTATCTCTTATACTCGTCTATTTATAGGTGAATTATCTGCGTATTTAATAAGGAAAAAGGTTATTCAAAAATCACATGGTATCAAAGCTATCAAAGAAAACATCTCCCGCTCGGCTTGATCACGGCCCTTCTCTCCCGCGATCTCCTTGACCGAGAGCTGCCCTAATTTGTCGTCAGCATCCGAGCGTCGTTCCTACCGATCGCGCATCTCTCTGATCGTCTGTGTCGGCTTCCGCGATCGTCTGCGTCCGCTTCCGCGTCGTCCGCTTCTGCGCTTCTCCCGTGTCTCCC